GTGCCTTCTTCTTCGCGGTCGCCTTCACGCCCGCTGCGATCTCCTGTCGCTCTCGGTCCGCCTCGCGCTGGGGGGGTGTTTTCTTCCGTTTAATCCGAGCGGCGAGTTTCTTCGCATCGATCCATCTTTGCAGGGCTCGGTGCTTGCCTGTGGTGTTTGGACGAGGAGGGTGCAGCACTCCCCCCCCGCGTCGCCCGCGGTTATCTCCCTTCTCCCGCGAACGGTGCTTACTCGCGTGGTTTTTACGAATCTCTCTGCTCCTCCAGCTTCGTGGGCCACGTTTTCCGCGACGGTGGTTACCAGGTGCAGTTTGCCGCTTTGCATTGCTGCCGCGGGGACAAGGTCCACATACACCTCTCGCCACTACCACCGTCTGTGCATCCTCACCGCCACGCTGAGCCAGCGCGGCGGTGAGTTGCACCTTGGGACACCATCCACCTACTATCTGTTGTGGCCTGGTTCGCCCGCGAGGGACTCACAAGGTCGATTTCGGCCCCGGCCGGGGAGCAGGCCGGGGAGGGGAGGAGGTAGTGTGTGTGTGTGTGTGTGAATGTTTCTCCACCTGCACTATTGCGGGGCACCGCGGTGCCCAACCTGCACTATATCGGGTATCTGCCTCAATAGTGCAGATCCTGCACTATTGAGGGCGCCGTCTCTGCGCAGAGATTTTACCTGCACTATATCGGGCGGTTGCACTATTCAAAGTGCACTATAGGGGGCCCACTACTGTACATTGCAACGCAATACACGCTGTATTCTTACAAACGTTTTCCCACCCTCTCTCTGCAAACTTTTCCCCACCCTCCCTCCGTGTGGATGACCCATCTTTATCAGGTCGCGAAGACCTTGAGGATCGGTACGGACAAGGTCCTGGCGGTTGGCACAAACTGGTATGACAAGCAGGAGTTGTACGAGACCAACGGGAAGGGGCGAGGCAAGGCCACCAGCGTCGACGACGGGCCACGTGTCATCATCAAGGAGCAAGAGGATGGACTGAACGAGTTCATCAAGGGCGAGCACGAGGCGGGGCGTCAGGTCTTCCGCCGTACCGTCAAGGATTACTTAGAGTGTTCGTTCGGATTAGAGATGTCGAATCGTGCCGTGGGAGGGCTGCTACAGTGCCTTGGCTTCAAGCGCCGTAGGGGTAGAATCAAAATGCCTCCGTTGAACGAGGAGAGGAAAAACCGTATCCGGCTCTTTCTTGTCAAGATGGACCTCGCGAAGAGGGTCGAGGACGCTGGGGTCGCATTCATTATGTACATGGATGAGAGCTTTGTTCACCAGGCGCAAGGTTCCGCGTACTCGTATTACTTTCCTTCTGACGATAAGGGGGTTGTGCAGGATGGGATAGGCCGTTCAACGGGGAAAGGTTTGCGTATGATCATGGTGCATGCGATCACGAAGCACGGGCCCTTGGCCGAGCTACAGGAGGGATTTCCTATCCAAAAGGGTTGGTTCAAGGCTAAGAAAAATCGTGCGAAGAAGATTAAGCCCGGGGAGGCGGATCTCGAAATGTCAGATGAGCAGACAGCAGAATTTCTGTGGCAGGCCAAGTTGGCAACTGGAGATTATCATAACGCCATGACGGATGGGATGTTCATGCAGTGATTGAAGCACCGACTTACCCCGACCATCGATGCGCAATTCAAGAACAAGAAGATGTTTCTCGTTCTCGATAACACCTCATACTACCACTGCTTTGACGAGGAGCTCAAGGTGCCCGAAAACAAGAGTAAGAAGTACAACGTCGAATTCTTGCGCAAGTACGGTTGCACGTCGTTCAAGGTGACGCGTGAGTCGGAGGGTAAGGCTGCTGAGTACAATTTTGAGGTGCCGGCGCAGGGGTCGTTACCCAATGCGAACCGCAAGAATGGCGTCAGCAAAGAAGAGATAGCGTCCGTCACTCGGACGTACTTCAAAACGAATTTCCCACAAAAAAAGCTCGAGGACAAGGCTGAGACGTACATGAGGGAGAAGGGGTGGGGGTTAATTTGGACACCGCCGTACATGACGAATTTCCAGTCGATCGAGCTGTTCTGGCAGCACGTCAAGCATTACGTGAGCATTCATTTTGAGAAGGGGGGGAACATGTTGGATGTCTGGAGGCAAATCCGTCTCGGTTGGTATGGAGACCCGGAATGGGGTGGTCAGGAGGGGGGGTGGAAGGCAGCCAATTGTGAAAAGTTGGTGGAGCATGCCATTGGCAAGATGAACGAGTGGATCGGCCTGTATGGTGGAAACCTGAGCGGTACGATCGGGAGCCTCGAGTATCCAGTGGCAGAGTACCAAGAGGCTATGGCCGAGGATGAGACAGAGGATAGGGTGGAAGAGCAGAAGGACGAGTGGCTGAGTGAAAAAAATGCAAAAAAAAATCCCCTTTTTTGGGCCAAAATGTTTCGATTTTGATTCACTAACAGCGACACAAAGGGGGCTGCACAGAAGATGCCATCCTGAGTGCAAGCTGACATATTGTTTGATATTTCGCAATTGAGATGGCTGTACCACCCTGTTTCAGCAATACATGGACCACCGGTGCAAGCCCTGGGGTCGCATCGTTTGAACACCGCGCTTCAATGTTTTTGGAACATCGCCGGGTACGATCACACACTAATTTCGTAATATTACTCGAAGACGTGGTGCATTTATTTTTTATAGTTTTGAATAACAGCTCTGTGCTTTGTGGTCAATTTGCACTGCAGTTTGTGATAGGGGACTCCGTATTGACGAGGTTGCACCATATTCCAATTTGGTCTTCACTACTATGTTCCCCCGTAGGGTTGACGAATAGGAGCAGGAGCCCATCACGTGCAGCTCAGAAGGGCGTATTGCGTGTTGAAGAAATGCTGTACAGTTGCGCATAGTAACATACTTGCCGGGCAAGGATTTATCACATGGCGGGTATCCATGCGATGTCGACGTCCGCGAGAATCGTATACAACACGCACCATTTCCCCAACTTTCGGTGCGAGGCCGCTGTTGACATACATGTAGAATAAAGCAGTGCAGAGGCTCGCTCTCTGATGCCAATCCACACATACATTCATTTGCTTTGGCCTCTGTGGCAACTTTGAGAGGGGCACCGTTCGTGCGCCATGTTCTCTGCGTGTGGTGTGTGCAGCCGCTGCTGCTGTCTTTGTGTGTGGAGTAGGCTGCTAAACTAGCACGAACAAATGTCGTGCGGATGAACGCCATGCATCCATTGCTGTACATATATGTGTACCGCTGCAAAGACATGATAGGCCGCAGCAAACACTTTACCTATGCCCAACCGCGCTCAAAAGCAACTTGGCTATGTAGGGCAAACATCAAATATTGTGGCACCTTGACGTCTGAAGCACAGAGAGATAGAGGACAGAGGCGCCCGCCGCTGCATCTTCGTCAGACATGCGACAGCGCTGTGGACGTAGGCCAATGACGCATCCGAAAAAAACAACTTGCGTGATATTTTCAGCCTGGGCAGCGGGGCATAGGGTAGGGCATCAGAAAAGCTACTGCAATGAATACCATCGTGTATGGCTCACGGTGTAGGTCATGTGGGGCGGATGTTGGATCGAGATGAAGGATTGTCTTAGTGCGATGCATGTGACTAGTCTTATGGTCCCGGCAAGTTGCCAGAGTGCTCACTTCGTTTCTGTGTAGTACACTTCGACACCAGGTTCCGCAAGCTTCCGCGAGTAATTTGGGACTGATTTTGACTGATGTACAGTAGTCTTGTAGAGGAGGGGTGGTTCATGGCGTGTGAGTTGCCCTCCTACTCCTCCTCCTTCACACTACCCATGAGCCTTGTAAACGTCGTGGTCTTTCGTTGTGGTTTTCAGGCGACGAGGGTGACATCGCCTCGTGGCAAGCGAGCGGGTCTCCCTCCACCTACTCGAAGAACAAGGTCGGCAACTTCTTCAGGCCTTTCCTTCGCGTGCCCCAGGTCAGTTTGTTGCCGGTTGCGCAAAGGTACAGCACTGACCCTAAGAAAATAACGAACGCCCCCTTCCCTATCGTGCCGGTCAACTGCTAAACTACGTTGCGTATGTCACTATGCGGCAGTCGAGTGTATCAAGGACAGTAGTCTATCCATGCATCCATAGTCTAAACGTCAAGGACTGCTGCTGAATGTACCCAACAACAGGTCTCTCTCAACTCATGACAAAAGTTTCTTCACCGATGAGAAGGCTGCATATAGGCGAAAGGCTACCTCTCTCGACTCCTACCCCTACTATCGAACGTCAATCATCTATTTCCGTCTCGAGAGTCACGCCACCCTTGTCTCGTGCATATCACTTACTACTCAGTCTACATAAGCATAGACTCACTTTGTGTTTGCGGCCTACGCCACATTTTTATCGGGTGAGACTGTTTTGGTGATGAATCAACTTCACGAGATGTAGACGACCGTCTTTCACACGGACGAAAGAGGGGGTGCCCCACATGGCAGCTCCCACACCACGGAGGGGCCCGTGAATCATCGCGGTGCCCCCGACCAGCGGCAATCTTACCAATCTGTGCGACACCAAATCATACAGCACATGTATCCAACACCAATGTTCGCGGACCCACGAACACAACCATCAACGGGGCAAGAACCCCCCTGGAAACATCAGAAAAACCAACAAGGTAATATATGGAGGTGAAACCCGGCGTCCAGGCAATACCCCTCGAATAAATTCCTACCACCACAAAAATCGTCGCTATCACAGCGGATCACATCGGCCGCACTTATTAGAAAGTCCAAGGCAAGTGCTAGAAACTGCTGCAGCTACTCCGGCAAATTCATCTTGCGCCGGTGGTACTGCAGGCTGGCCCTGCTATCGGCCTTGGTAAGGAGGTCCGCGTGTTGCTCCGTTGTCGGAACAAACTTGACCGAAATATCCCCCGGCCTAAACAATACGCGGATGAAATGAAACCTCACGTCGATGTGTTTCGTGCGACCTGACCTGAGGGGGTTCTGCACCAACGCCATGGCCCCTTGGTTGTCCTCAAGGGCCTGGATGCTGCTACCACTGGTCTCTGGGGCAACAAACGAAAGCACAGTACGCACAAACAACGCCTCCTCGAAGCCCTCCCCGGCAGCAATGTGCTAGGCTTCCGTCGAAGACAAGATGCTCTGTGTCTTGCTACCATNTGGTTGTCCTCAAGGACCTTGATGCTGCTACCACTGGTCTCTGGGGCAACAAACGAAAGCACAGTACGCACAAACAACGCCTCCTCGAAGCCCTCCCCGGCAGCAATGTGCTAGGCTTCCGTCGAAGACAAGATGCTCTGTGTCTTGCTACCATGGCTAACTACAGTACCTCCCACCGTCGTCGCCAACCCTGATACCGAACGCCTATCCTCCGTGTCGGCGTAGCTAGCGTCCACGTCCACGGCCAGCCCAAACCCCGATCCCCGTTGGTAGGTGATGCCGAAGTCCCTCGTCTCCTTCAGGTAGCCGAGGATCTTCCGGATGGCATCCCAGTGCCTCTTCGCCGGGGAGCGGGCGAGGCGCGATACCGCACGCACGGCGAAGGAGACGTCTGGACGCGAGAACGTCGACACCCACATCATGCTGCCGATGGCCTCCCTCACCGGCCACTCCCCTCCCTCGTCATCTCGCTTCGGTCCTTTGGGGGATTCACTTAGCTCGTGGGACGCTAGGGCCGTCTTGAATGCGTCTGGCGAGTTGAGCATGAGGTCTACCGCACCTTGGCGCGCAGCGTGGGTCTCCTGCACGCGCTTGAACAGCAACTCTCGCACCGACCTCGCTTCGAACCCTTCTGCCACGTGAAGTACCGCCGAGAGCATCCAGCGGGTGAACTCCTCCGTACTTCTGACGGTCAGGCTCGCCGCCAGCGTCTCCCGCGCCCGACTCCTGAGGCGTTGCCGGCGGCGGCGGCGGCACTACGCGGGCGGGCGGCGGAGCTGCCGTAGTGTTAAGGTTGAAACCTGGTCCTCCATCCACAGGTTCTCCCTCCGCCCTCCTTCCACCTTGGCTCGACGCGCCCTCCCCAACCTCGTCCTCCTCAGTCGCGAATTCCTCTCCCTCCTCTGCGATGTGAGGCAGCGATTGGGGCAGGGCGGTGGGGGTGGTGGGTAGGGATTGCCAGGTGCAGTTGCGAGTTGTAATCACTTGGCGTTTTTCGTCCAGGATGCGCACGCAATCACGGTTGGTGTGTACTCCCGGGCCGAGGTAAAGACACTTTTGGGCTTTCGGCTCGGACTTGTTTGTGCGCTTGACCTTGTACACGGCAGGTTTGAGGAACGGGTACGTCGTCCCCGGCGGGAGAGGGTGCCCGTGCCACATCTGGTACGGCGATTTCTTCTCTGGGTTGGATGTGGTGGAGGTGCAGTTCAGGGCGTTGCATGCCCAAGCTATGGCCCCGGCTCAAAGGGAGGGGTAATTCGGTGCTCCGGGGTTAAGAGTTGGCGCTTGGATACGAGTGGCTAGTGCTGCATCCTTGATCAGACCTCGTGCTCTCTCAGCTTGACCGTTCTGTTCTGGGCTGTATGCGGGGGTGAACTCCTGTTTGATGGAGTACTTCCGGCACACCTTGCCGAACTCTCCCTCAAAAACCTCTCCTCCGTTGTCAGATCTCACGACCATGACATCGGACGGGGCACCGTCTGCCCGGTTTTCGGCAAGGTACCTCTCGAATGCCTCAGCGGCGTCTGGCTTGTGCTTCGGAAAATAGACGCGGTTCCTTCCACCTTGTGTAATCATCCTTGACAATGAGAGTGTAAATACTTTCCCCCCAAGCTCTGCACCCTAGCTTTTCCACTCAAATCCACGAAAATTCGCTGCAATTTCTCAACTGCTCGGCTCGACGTCTCGTTGGGGATGGGCTTGGAAAGTCCCTTTGCCGTCGAGCACCCCAGGCACTCCCGGAGCTCATCCACCAGCGGCTTCCCCTGCTGCTTCGCCGTGGTCCTCAGTAGCACCTCGTGGGAGTGGCCGTGCGCGCAGTGGAAGTCATTGATGTTAACGGGGGTGTTGGGCGCTTTCGTGCTACCAGGAGCAATTACGGCATAGGCTTGTTCGGAGTATTTGCGGAAACCGTTTTGAACGTACAGGTCACCGCATCGAGGGAAGTTCACCAACTCCCCCCCCGTCTCTCCAACTCTAACTCGTGTTTATTGAGGGCTTTGGTTTCGAACCCGTCGCCGAAGAGGGAAGTGAGAGATACTAGGTCGTAATCTAGTCGGGGAACGTGTGCAACCGTTTCAACAACAGGTCGGTTGTACCGTTGCGCGAGCAAAGGGTGACCGTCACGTTGCCATACCCTACGATAGGGAAGGTTTCTCCGGCGGTGACGCACACACGTCGATCACACTCTTCGTAACGAACGAACCCATCTGAGTTCGCGAACATGTGAGTGGTAGCGCCGGTATCGGCGACATACCTGCCCCGCCTAGCCTGCTCTACACCCCCTCGACCACGGACTCTGTGACACTCGCCTGAGATGTCACTGACCACCAGCGCCTCTTCTACCACGTCCAGTGCTGTGGCGTCCGCAGACACCCCCCCCCGCCGGCACTTCCACCACGAGCACCGCCTCTTCAGTCAGGCCCTTGCTCTTGTCGTGCCCGTAGCCCTTGCATGTCTCACATCGCACGGGCTTGCTCTGGGTGCAGTCGGCCACCTGGTGGCCCTTCTTGCCTNTCCAGTGCTGTGGCGTCCGCAGACACCCCCCCCCGCCGGCACTTCCACCACGAGCACCGCCTCTTCAGTCAGGCCCTTGCGCTTGTCGTGCCCGTAGCCCTTGCATGTCTCACATCGCACGGGCTTGCTCTGGGTGCAGTCGGCCACCTGGTGGCCCTTCTTGCCGCACCGGAAACAGCGACCGCGCATGCTACCGGCATCGTCGTCGCCGCCTCCGCCGCCTCCGCCGCCGCCACCAGCCTTCGCGCCACCCCCTCTCCCCTTCTGGTTGCCGCCGCCGCCGCCGCCGCGACCCTTGCGGCGGCCGCTGTTGCCGCGGCCCGGCGCTCCTCCTCCGCCGCTACCATCGCTCGCGAGGAGAGCATGTTCCGCCTTACGCTGGCCCTTCTCCCCTCCGGATGACTCGCGTGCACCGTGCTCACGATCCTGACGATCTCGGCCCTATCCAGCGCCTTTGCTGTCTCCAACAGGAACTTCGCTTGTTTGTACTCGGGTGCGAGGGAACCAACGAAGTGGGCGAGAACGAAGGTTTGTTCAGCACTGAGCCCCTTTTCGCGCAGGCGGGCATACAGCAGCTCGAGTGAGTAGAGGTGCTCGATGGGGTTGCTGTTGCTGTGTGTGGGGATTGTAAAATCGAACCTCTTCCGCATCAAGGCCTGTTGGACCTATGTGACTCCGGATCGTAGACCTTTTCCAATTCCGCGAGGACCTGTTGCGCTGACGTAGTATCAGGCAGGAACCGCATGAGGGGGTCCAACCCCCCCCTTCTATGTGACCCCGTTTGGGTCGTCTAACTGGTAGAAGTGGAGGATAGGGGCCAGAGGGGCAGATGACAGAGTCCCATGATGGGAGACAAAAAAAAAAAAAGTTACTGATTATTGCGTTATCAGCTTCTTATACCACAGCAGTAGTGATAATATGGAACGCCTGAAGCCCTCGTTGGACTTCTGCTCTCGTGTGCCCCCTACGGAGCCGTTTGGAAGTCAGCAAGTTTGGGTCGTCCACGGGGATATTGCGGAGTTTCGGAAATATGTGTGGTTCTGCCCAGACAAAATGCCCAGACAATATGCCCAGGCAAAAATTGGCATGAAAAAGATCCCAATAGAAGCTCAGATTTTTGTCGGCATGACGTGGCAACGGCCCGCCGCTGATTGGCCGAAAGACTCGCGCGCGCCCTTCCCCTTGCCTCTGCTTCTCCCTAAGCCAGAAAATAGGTTGCTTGGTTTTGTCAGTGATATTTTGCTGTGCACTAGCAGCAGTACGATGCTGCAGATGCCAGGAGGCTGTGTAGCCTACCTCAGAGGTTCACACTCTGTGCGTCTCTAACCGCGAGAGACTTGGAATGGAAATGTGAAGATGCTTTTATTAGTTGCCGACTCCCGAGTCAGATGTTGCTGGTACTGAAGAGGAGTGAGAGGAGTGGGCGAGCTTAGGGCTGCACCACCACTCTCCTCGAATACCAATCACACGAAAGATGCAGAATGCTTCCAGAATGATTTTTGGAAGCCCTCCTACGTTCTAGAAGAGTATCAACTACAACCTAGATCTAGAACGCTTCCAGAAGCTTACAGAAGGAACCAGAAGTTTCCAGAAAGGCTTCCAGAAGCTACAGATGGAACCAGAAGTTTCCAGAAAGGCTTCCAGAAGCTACAGAAGGAACCAGAAGTTTTCAGAAGGCTTCCAGAAGCTACACACGTTCTACATACATGTCCCGGTCAACCTTGACCTAGCATGCTTCCGGAATATTTCTAGAACAAGAGAATACATGCCAAGGAGAGATGGACTCTTTTCTACTGCTACGCAGACTAGTTGCTGCAATCGTATTAAAAGGTCAAACCGTGTCCGACTACTGGTGGTCTCGACGCACGATTTTCCTGACACGACCCCTAGATCAATCAACTAATTCCCAATGGTCGACGGCATCACCATATCCTTGTCTACCTCGACCCCTCCGTTGGCATCGAATCGAAAATAAATTCCTTCTGGTATGGCGGGTATGGAAGGAAGCTTCACAGATCTTCGATCATTACGAGAAGTCCTTGATCTGCTGAATGATGGAGGCGAATCGGTGCTTTGG